CCCTTTTAAAGAAAAAAAAAAGACAATTCCTCCTTTGTACAGATTATAGAGATACTATTTTGCTCTTAATAACTAATGAATGTTAGAACATTGGAAGATTTTTAACACTGCAATGTGCACATTCCTGCCAGCCTTCCCATCCACTGATAGAAAATCCTTGTTTAGAAAATGTATAAATCTACCAGAGTTTATAAAATTCTAATAAGCCTATAGATCCAGACTTGGTGCGGAAAATGTTACTGAACATCTATTAATTTATTCTATAGATCCAGACTTGGTGCTCAAAATGTTACTGAGCATCTATTAATTTATTAAACTCTTAAATGAATAGGGCCTACATGTGAAAATACCAGAAGATGTAGTCTATTCAAGATAAAGAAAGTCTCTAGACAAATTTTACCCAATTTTTTCTTTACTTTGAAAAATTATAACAGTCATCAAACTAAGTTTAAGTTTTTCCCAGTGCGGCCAAATGGTGTGTGTATGTGTGTTTCTATGGTAAAGTTTGGAAGATGTTAAGCTGTACAGTCTGAATGATGTGATGTCAGCTGTCTTGGTTATTATAAGCGAGAGACGACTCTAGATTGCCTGAGTGTAAAGATCTGTCTTTGTAGTGAGTTAGATTTTGTTCAGAATACCATTTTATATTATTATTAAAGTCTACTACATTTATTTCATTTCATCTCAAGTTAAAATTTGCCTATATTGTATTAAAAGTTATATTTAGTATTGTTCACAAAGAAGTTCTTCAAATTGTTTAAAGTTATACAAGTTAAGATATAATACACCTACAGCAGTTAGGTGCTACAAGTCAACAACCGTCCACAACACCAAATAGCAAGAAATACTTTTCCCAAAGAAATACATCAACTATAAATTTCTAGGAAAATCATTAGAGCCATTTTCGAGAACCATGTCCACCCACCCATCCAGATTTTTGAGTACATAAATTTGCAAGCTGAATAGAGGAATTGTTAGAAAAAACTTACTAAATTAAAAGTTTTACAAAATCTTAAAATCTGTATTTTATCTTTGTATAAAAAGTAAAGTAAAGTTCCCCTTTGAGACCTTGCGATCTATGGGGCAGATGATGTAAAGGTTATCTGTTTCTGTGGCCCATGTTTAATGAGGATGTCTTGTGGCCAGCACAACAACCAACCGCATTTACTTTTCCCCCAGGTCAGATACTCATTGTAGCTGGGTGGACTCAGACGGCCTAAATTTTCTAAGTTATAGTTGTTCTTTTCAAAAATGAAAACAGCAATGAGCTTTGAACATGAACCATCGTGATGACATTCTAAATACATACCACACTGCTAAGCAACTTTGTACAAACACAAAAATATTTGACTTGAACAGTATTTGTATATTTGAATATTTACTTTGTTTTGATATAGTTTTAACTTGTTTTATGAAATGCACACTTAAGAAAAGTTTCTCCTACAAAGATAATAGAAGGCCTTCATGTAAGAGATTGTTATTATTATTCAAACTTTTGAACCTTGACAATTATTCAATCGTAATTAAAAGTTTCATCTCCTAGTAAGACTTTTTACAAATTTAATGTTGTATAAAAAAAAATTGATCTTACTTCTGTATTTGTCTTTAAAACAAAAAAACAAAATACCTATATGTGTCACAGAAATATTTTTAAATAACTGAACATGTTTAATTTACAGAAATACATCCTTCTAAAAATATATATAAGTATAAGGTTCCATTTTCAAACCATAATGATGTTAAACTTTCGAACTTTAATGAATTGATCACTCAATCCATATCTCCCTCAATAACCATGGACTCAAACTCTCCTTTTTTGTGCTTTTTAACTTAGGTTTGTGGGCCTGTTCAGTACACACGATCAATGCATTTTTATTTTGATCATAATTAAAAGGAGCTTATATAATAATAATATATTAATGGTTCCCTTGATCACCATTCATCCATAACAAATGTACAGATGCCAGTTATCTGGTAACCCTATTCTGACAATCCTATGTTAAGACTGGTTTTACATAGTGTTCCACAGAGTATTTAAAGCATGTATGATGTATTAGTAAAGAATTTCACTTCACCTTTATTTAGATTAATTACTCAAAATGAAATAAAATTTTAATTTGTTTATTTTTCATTTCTTAATCTATAAGAAATCTATTTAGTTTGTTTGTAAAATATTTGCATGTTTCAGATACAAGATTTACAACTAATTAGTAACATTTTGCATTCATACATTTTTTAAAAAACAGATTCAAATATGGGAAGGATTTTTCTTCAACATCTGGGTGGTTCACGCCTTTTTACATGTGGCAGTTGTAATATAGCACTTACAAATAGATCTGAACTTATATCTACACGCTTTACAGGTATGTAAACAGTAAACTTAACTTTGTCCCTATCTTAATAGAATAAAGAACACACATTCCTATCCCTTGATAGACACTACCATCATTATGATACTGTATAGTTATACAAAGAATTCTTAAGAAGAAATATTATAAATTTATATATATTTCCTTAGCAGTTTACACATAGTTTATGACATTGTATTGGAGATTTTCATAAATGGCAGAAAAGATATTAACAGCGTTTTGGTATATTCCTTTGTGCAAAATAAAGAAAAGTTGAAAAGCTGTGTTTTTCAAGAGGTAATAGAATATATTTGTGCCATTTTTGCACTTTAGAATCAAATTTTCTAAGCCCTTCTGCTTGTAGTATAATAATTTTAATATAAAATGTTATTAGATTTTCAATATAGGACTTAAAACTTATTTTAAAAACAAAAGAAAAAATAAATATTTTAGAAGGATGGACTTCATAGAGACATGTACAGTTCAAGTCTTTAATAAAACACACTTTTGATGTAGTAACCAGCCAGTACCAATATTTGTTTACAGTTTAAAAAAAATTAATTTACTGCCATTTTCACTTTTTGCTCACAAGCATTATTTTGTAAAGAAAACATCACTTCAAGTACTGTAAATTTTTCATCTCTGGTATAAGCTGCCTTATTTCTATAATATTCCATCCAACTGTTGCTATTGATTTCACATTTTGCTATAATTACCTCAGCAACTGTTCTGCTTGTAACAAATTGTTATGCACATTTATGTAATACCAAAAAAGAAATCTAAGTTAAGTTACCTAGATTAGCATAGAGGTAAACTATCACTAAATAAAAACTTTGAAATGAGTGCACCCTGTGGTGACTACTGCTCAGGCCGAAGTTGAGGCAATTACCTTAGCTTTGCAGACAGTCGAAAACAAATTATATGAAGGGATACAATCACCATCAGATATTGTTGTCTTTACAGACTCCCAATCCACTCTTCAAGCACTTAGCAGCACCTCAAAAGCCCAAGAGAGCTGACAACACTAATAGTGATAATACACCAGATGATGACAAAATTTAACATCATCACATTACAGTGGATCCCTGGACGCATTGGCGTCATGGGAAATGAAAGGGCAGATAAGCTTTCAAAGGCAGGATCATCTATGGAACAACCAGATAGACCTGTTAACTACCTCACCCCAACGTCAATGTTAATCAACAACCACAAAGAGGAGTGGCTCAACCTATGGGCAACATGAAACAGGCAAAGCCATGTACCAAGAAATGAACATGCCTAACAAACTGGACAGTATTAACTTCCTCCCCTGCAAAGAGCAATCTACAATCTTCCAACTAAGGACAGGACACACACCTCTGTTAAATTACCATCTCAATAAAATAATTCACACACAACTCCCCCTTGTAGACACTGCGCCCACCCTTATGAAACCGTAAACCATATCCTTTTTGAATGCCCCTTCCTAATCCACCTTAGGCAGACCCTACTACCACTCCAGCCCAACATAACCAACACCCTGTACGGCAGTGCTGAACAACTGAAGAAAACAGCACACTATTTTTCCTTGGCAGTCTGCTAAAAGCTGGCTAGAAGAAGAAGAAGAAGTGAGAGTATAGCTTGACTATTACCAACTGCATCAGAAGTAATAAGTGACAATGATCAAGACCATCGTCCTGCTGTTATAAGCTTCTCAAGTTGTGCAACTCCAAGCCTCAAAAAGAAAAAGGGAAACATGTCATGCAGCCTATCTCGATGCCTCCTTTTCAATAACCATTTGGAATCAACGCACATCAAAGCAAATAAATAAAGATACTTCTGATCTTCTTGATGTCTGAAAAATTGCATTCGATCCGAGCAATGCCAATGAAATTATTTCATACCTTGTTTTAGTTTTTTGGAAGCTTGCTGATAAATTATTTTCAAAACATTTCTTTATTTCCCCCTTATAAAAATATTTTTTCACTTCCATTGATATGTGATTTTGATGCATGGTTCTTCATTTTATATATTAAAATTTTGAATATTGATATTGACGAATGTTTCAATACAAAAAAACTAACATTCAAAGTATCTGTAATGGGACATTATGTAACTGATGCTGTCTCAATGAATAATGTTGTCTCATTTATTATAGTTCACTTATAGCCTGTATAAGAAATGTATACTTGCTTGTTTACTGCCACCTTTTTATGTTTTAATAACAGGTGCAACAGGACGAGCGTTCCTCTTTAACAGAGTGGTAAACCTTCAATACAGTGAAGTACAGGACCGTGTCATGTTGACTGGACGACATATGGTCAGGGACGTCTCTTGCAAGTCATGCAACTCAAAGCTGGGCTGGATCTATGAGTTTGCAACTGAAGACAACCAAAGATACAAAGAAGGAAGAGTGATTCTAGAGAGAGCTCTTGTGCATGAAGTAGATGGCATGGATGAGCCTATAGTCAATGACAGTTGAAATAGACAAATACTTTTTTTTTTTAAAGAAAAGATTGCTTTCAATATGATCATCTACTTCTTCTTCAGGAGGATAATTTGAAAGACTTGAGTCATACAGCAAAATATCAATTAGTTCAACTTAATTAACTCTTTACTTTGTTTGTTTTTTATCTCTTAAAGATTTTTTTTTAAAGTGTTTTTAAAAATTTAGTTTTTTTTTTTTTTCAAATAAAGGCAGCATAGGTTTTAACATTATTGACTGAAACCTTCTAGAAAATAAATTGTGTTAAAAAAGTAAATAGTTTACTGGTTTCATACCTTGACAATCTAAGTGCCAGCCAGCAGAGTTTGTTTTATTCTACTTTGCTGTATGTTCCGAAAGGTTAATTACTAAGTAGATTGTAAATTTACTATTTACTGGTGTGCAGGGCTGGCCAGATTTCATTTGGTTTTGGCTCAACCATTAGAGTAGACTAAAGGAGATGGCTCTTAAAAAAAAAAAAAAGCTTTGGGAAACACTGGTGGCTATGTGGTGGAATGCTTGCATGGTGTCTCAATGACAGTGTTAAACCCATTTTAAATGTTTACTTCTGAATGTGTGTATTTTTAGGAGTGTGTTTTTAATTATTAGGCTAGCAAGAAATTCTGTCTAATCTAGTAATATTAGTTTGAATGACATCTGATGTATCAGTGATGTACTTTTTGTTTGTGATGATGTTATAGATTTTATGTTGTGACATGCTACATTGAATTAAAATCCATATTTACTAAGACATTTTTTTGCATGAAAAAAATTGCATTAGGCCTTTTTTTTTTTATTATTTTATTTTCATTCGTCTTAATGTTTTTTTTTTCAGAAATTATCCAGTTTGATTGCATGTTTTAAAAAAAAGAGCTTGCTTTTTTTGTGTGTGTTTTATATAGACTCTATATATAATTCAAAGTAAGGCATTATTTCCAAAAATAAGTAAAAGTTATTTGTTTTAACTTTAAGATAGATCATCACTATAATGAGCACACCTCATATGCAGCAATAAAAAACCATTCCATCCAAACTTTTGCTATTGTATTTTTACAATTTCTCAATTTATTCCATACTTTGAATATCTGGATTCTTTAAAGTTTATTTTCACTAATTAGGGTACTGTCAAGATGTTTTCATTTACCCCCCCCCACTTCCCTAACCGTTATAGTTTTTTTTTTTTTAAAGACAAAAAAATTTTGCTATTTCCTTGTAACATGTTCAACATTTGATCAGTTTGTTGTATCACTTATTTGTCATGTTGGAAGGGAAGTTTGCAAAAGTTAATTTAACGGGCATGCTAAATATGGAAATAATGTGATAATTTTTTATTTGTTTTTTTTTTGGGGGGTGGGGGGGGGGGTGTTATTAAGGTAAATGTTTTTTTATTAAAATGCTAAGAAAAATATGTCATTTGTGAAATTAATTTTTAAAAATTTATTATTTTTGACAGAAATCATTGCTAAAAATCAAATCTCATAAACAACTATTAGAGTTATTTAAAACACCAATGTAATTAAATTATTTCCATGGGCCCTCATCACATCATGTTACATTATTATTTTGTGGAATACTGTACTGTAAAAACAAGATGTAATGTGTAACAATACATTTGAAATAAAATATATATATTTTTGGAAAACAACGACTTTGTATATTGCTTTAGTTAGTTATTCTTTATTGAATAGCAGAATACTCACATGAAACAATGTATCTACCAAAACATTTTGACAGTGTCCATTTTATGAAACATAAATTACGTGTAATCTCTATATGCATATACAAAGTGGAAGAAGAGCTTTAATTTATAATGGAATTTGATACATGGATTCGAAAACCACGAATAAGAAATGATGTCCCTTGGGAGGCTTTGAAATAATTCACCGATGAGTCCCTGGGTTTAATTAAATGTACCAGTAGTGACAGTCTGATACTTAATGAACTATAGTGATAGTTCAATGAAGTGTACCAATAGTCGATAGATTAATGAGTTGCTGGTCATTAATACAAGGTAGCCACACAAGTTTGGGTTATTTTTTAATTTAAGCCTCCATTTGCTTTAGACGTAGCTGCTTTTGCTGAATAATTTTAACAATATTAGCACGATACTCCATGGTTAAATCTTTAATATTCTTTTCAATCTTACGCCCTGACATGTTCAGCAGATCTCTCACCATGAATGTATTTAAAGTGTTAGTTGGTAAAGACATGACAGAGCCTTTCTTATCTACTTTAATAGAGGAAACAGATTTAATTTCACAAGGAAACTGCAGTGTAACTGACTGATTTTCCTCCTGTGACATGGTCTGTACAAAAGAATTATGATTTTTGGTCTGAAGATGTACAACTTTAGTTCGCACAATATGAGAATCAACATTGTTTTGAGCTGTCGGCATTAAGTCAGGAACAATTTTATTTTTGGAATGATTTACATTCTGTGAGACTTCACAGCTGTTGAAACAAATAGAGCCCTCACAATGTGATGTAATTAATGGATCTGTAGAATCTTGTTGCCTTTGAAAAAAGCTAATTTCATGTTTGGATAACAAATTTGAACTTTTATTTTGTTTTCTTGACTTACTTTTAAACGTTTTCTGTCTTTCAGCATTGCTATTAAAATCTTTACTTTTGAATGCAACAGATTTGAACATGGTAATCCATTTTCCTTTAACTTCAACTTTTGTTAGGTCACTGTAACTACGAGAAGAGTGATGATGAGATTGACTAATGAGTCCATTAGAGTGTGCAGTAGTATTGGTAGGCAATTTATTACCAATTATTGCTTTTTTAGTTTTCTTTCTTTTGGTGTTACATGTGGTAAGAGCAGTTTTGACTGGACTCTGTTTTTTCTTCTCTGGGAATGATTTACTTGTGTTGCAAGGTTTGATGTTGGTGACGTTACTTTCTGTCAGACTATTTGTGCTCAAAGAAAGGGAGTCATTGAAAGAGATGCTATCATGTCTCTGAATGAATTCATCTGTAGTTGCAGCTTGGGTCAATGACAAACAAAAATCAGAGGCTGAGCTACAATAATCATAGGGTTTGTCTGCAAGGATATTGTGATCTATATTATTCAATATATTTTTCCAGAATTCATCACTTTCATTTATATCATCAATATTAGGGCTAGTGATGTCTCCATTTAAGGAAGGTGATGTATGCAGCTCATTAAGTTGTTGCTCTCTATCACTAGAATGATAAAATGAGTCTGCAAGGCAGCTATCCACATCTATAGCAGCATTATCTGCTCTGTATTTGAAATGTTCAAAGTCAAAGAAGTCTAAAGAGGAGTTCATATCATTGTGTAGGTATCTTTCATCCCACAAAGGGCTATCACTCAGAGGATTTAATTGCTCAAATGAAACCTGATCAATCTTTTTATTTTCCATTATATTTGAAATACATGAATGAGTTTTCAAAAAAAAGTATTTTTCATTTAGGAGAATCAATGTTAATAAATGGTGTGATTTTGAAACTTTACTTGTTACAAAACTCTTTTCAAACAATTTTACGTTCTTTGTTGCTCTCTTGATGCACAATACTGATCACAGAATCTGTTGTTTTTTTTTGGGAATAGAAATAATTTTAATTAATTTTTCTTAAATGCTTATACTAGTCCAATTAAAAAAAAATTAATAAATTGTATAGATAGATAAAATAGATTTAAAAAAACAAATAAACTAAAGAACATAAAATCAAGGTTTAAAGCCTCCCCCCCCCTTTCCCAAGATTTCCTTCTGTGATGTCTGACTGTCTCTATTTTCCCTGGTACTGTAAGGCCTTTGTGAGCCCACCATACGGCTTAAATTTGCATTTGTTGATATTGGTCAGCAGGTCATTGTGGGACCCTATTGCCATTCAGCCCATTTACTGCCTATTGTGATTCTATTTCAAATTTCCTTAAGTCAATGACTTAATTAGCAGAGTTTAATTATCATGCATGACTACATAAATACATGAATTTGTGTAGGATTTAGTAATCTTTTTTGAAGCAAAATCTGTAATTTATAAGACAAGATAGATCTAGATTTAATATTAGACTACAGCTAATACTAATATTAATTAAATTCAAGAGAATTCGAAATCAAATAGATCTACATGAAATAGAGTTATAGATTTAGACTAGATCAGTAGACTACTAAGTAAATCCTATATCAGATAATAATATCATGACATATCTAAATCTGAAAGTTAAGTTGATCTAGTAGACTCTAGTAACAAAAAACATTATCATTAACACTTAAATAATAAATTAGCTATCTAGATCAAGATTAATTATACATAGTATATCCATCCATCTCAGTGGTGTTAGAGGGCCCTGGCCTGCTTTAGCACATCTCTCCATTCTGATCTATCCTGTGCTTTACTACTCCATGCCTGGACCTTTAGCTGTTGTAGATCCATCTGCCTCTACATCACCAAGCCACTGCACCTTTGGGGCGCCTGCCTATTGGTTTTTGCTAGAGAACAATCTTTGCTCCTCTGTACTCTGGCATTCTTCAAATAGTTGGTATATTTCTTGGTTGGTACAAATCCTCCATTTGGTTTCCTCAAGTAAAGTACCATAAATTTTTCTTAGGATTTTACTTTCCCAAGTATTGAGCAGATTTTCTGTGTTTTTTGTCAGCATTCAGGTTTTGCTTGCATCTATGACTACAGATCTGATGATGGTTTTGTAAATTGTTTTGTTAGATTTAAGTTTGCTTTTTAAGCATGTGTTGTGTGTTATAGAAAGCTCTGTTGTCTGCCACTAGTCATTCCTTTGTTGGCATTAGGTCGTTGTTGGAATGTATCATGCTTCTTAAATATTTAATCGTTTCTACGTTTTCAAACTTGTGGTTATTAATTTTAATAAATTGTTCTGAACTTCTGCTGATTTTCTCTTCTTATTAGAATATACTTGGATAACTAGATTTTGTTGTCATTTATTTCAAGACCTGCTGGTCAAGATGCTTCTTAAAGTTCTTCCAGTTGTGTGTAAAATCTAGCAATGTCAGAGGTATCTCTTACCCAAAGGCATTATAAGGCAATGTCATCTGCATATACTTGATATACGAGATATTCATATTGTAAAGGTTGGCTGTATATTGTTCCTGTTTTCTCTTCTGAAGTAGTTAGATCTAGTAATGCTGTAATACTAAAAGATGAGATCTATCTAAGTATCATCTAATTAATAAATTATTGTAAAGTAGTCTAATATTAAATAATAGTAAATAGTAGATGATATTACTATTAGTCTTATTTATTATTAGATCATCAGATGATAGAATCTAGTGACTAGAGTCGTAGAGTCGAGAAGACTAGAGTTACTGTCTACTTTAGTACTTAGACTAAGAAAATTGAATTTACCTTGTAGATTCTATGTTGATCTAGAAACAAATATAGATCTAGATCTGTTCAGATTATCTAGAACCTAGATGGAAGTCTACTAGACATCTAGATTTAGACTCTACATTATCGACTCTTGCAAATATTCTGATAAAAATCGTCACATAAGTTTAATATATTAAAATTGTTTCCAATAACAAAGAGTTACGTATTGAAACCACATAGATCTAGATATCTAGGTCTGTGCGTAAAAATACATCTATTTCAAATTCAAAAGTTATCCTTTCTCCTTTTCCCCCAATACAACACCTTTTTTTCTTTAAAGTAGACTATAAGGAATAGGAGGCTAAGCGGTAAAACGCGTGTCTTCCGAACCGGAGGTAACGGGTTCGAATCATGGTGGAACTGGGATTTTTAATTTCGGGATCTTTGGGCGCCTCTGAGTTCACCCAGCTCTAATGGGTACCTGACATTAGTTGGGAGAAAGTAAAGGCGGTTGGTCGTTGTGTTGGCCGCATGGCACCCTCGTTAGGCCTAACCGTGGCCATAAAAATATATGACCTTTGCATCATCTGCCTTATAGATCACAAGATCTAAAAGGGGAACTTTTTACTTTATGGAATATACCTGTGTGTTTACATTACAATGTTAAATTATCTTACAGATCTAGATTTACATATCAGACATGTTAATTAAATTCTTAGGCTATTTATTTCAATCCGAGACTAATCAAGATTTTTTCCAACCCGCCGACATCTGCCGTTTAATGGGCTATTTCATTAGTCTAGAATATTCATTAATGAAATTGATTTTAACATAGACCTAGCCACATACCTAGACTATTAGGCAAGTCTTGTATGTTGTTCAGTTATTCGCCTAGGTGCAGTAACATTCGCCTTATTTTAATAGCTGCTATTAGGCATACACGAGATTAGCAGAATACAAAGATCGCAATTAGATTCAACACCTTCGTTAGTGCTATTGTGCAGGAATTATGTTTCCATTCAGTATCAGGCACCCACACTACCAAAGTAGAATAAAAAGGTGAACAAACCATTAAAAAGGACAATATAGAAAAAAAAAGGACAAAGGAATTTTTAAAAGCTAGTCTTAGGCCTACAATTTATTTAATGAAATCTGTATAACTGCGAATTGTATTAAGCTCAATCAAACCCTTTTAGAATGTGGATCAGTGGTGGCCCTAAAAAGGACCTTGAAAAAAAAAAATTCAGTTTAAAATAAAAATAAAATTTTAGTTATTGATGTTGTTTATTTCATTTTCGTTTTCGTCCCCGTCTCGCACAAAACACGACAAGT